ACGAGGAGTCAGGAAGACCTGAATTCAATTTTGGCCTCACTTAGCAGCTGTGTGACCCTGGGCAAGTCACTCGCCACTGTTTGCCTCAGTTTCCTTACCTGTAAAATGAGCTGGAGAAGGAGATGGCAAGCCATTTCAGTATCTTTGCTAAGAAAGCCCCAATTGGGTTCACAAAGAGTCAGGTACAACTCAACAACAACAACAACAAGCTATTTTACTTAGAGTTCATAGGATTTAGAGCTGATAGGAACCTTAGGGGTAACCTAGTCTAGCTCTTTCATTCTGTTGATTAGGAAAATCAGGCCCAGAATTCTGACTCTAAATCCAGTGCTCTTTCTTCTACATTACAAATCTTTTCAGTAAATAAAAACATCCTGATGGATTGCCTATTTTTCCCCTTCCAGACTGGGTTGGTTTCATATAAATATAGCCTTAGGCGGAAGGTTAGTTAAGCCTGGATTCACAGTATGTGACTCCTGGTTCTGTGCTCAATTCACAAGGTGTCCTGTGAACTGAGCCTTCACTGATTAAAGGTAAATCTGTTTTGTTCCCTGAAAAGTGAGTCATCCAGGCGCAGACACTGCTAGGTTATAGTGTCCACCATTTCCTGGAGGGCTCAGGCATTTGTTCCAACAAATCTTCTAGCTTCTAAAAAGTATTAATTCTGCCTCTGTCTTCCAAAACATTAGCTATAAGTGAAGCTGACTTTGACCCATCACAGGGAAACTTCTTCTGAGTATCTGAATCTGTCTGCAGCCTAGCATACCCTTATCAAATCCTTTCTTCACCATGTATCTTTTTGTGTGACCCAGTGGAGAAAGTAAAGTCAACAAGCATTTATTCTTTAAAATATATTTTATTTGTTTTGTTAAATATTTCCCAATTATATTAAAAATTTTTAACATTCATTTTTACAAATTTTGAGTTCCAATTTCTTTCCTTCCCTCCCACACCTACCCCCACCACTTGAGAAGGTAAGCAATGTGATGTCTATTTTAAATGTAAAGTCATGCAAACCATATTTCCATATTAGCCCTGTTGTACAAAATAAAGAACATAAAAAGTATGCTTCAGTCTATAGTTAGAATTCATCAGTTCCCTCTCTGGAAATGGGTAGCATTTTTCATCATGGATCCTTTCAACAAGCATTTATTAAGCACTATGTGCCAGGCACTGTGCTGAGTGCTAGAGATACAAAGAAAGGCAAAAACAATCCCTGCCCCCAAGAAGCTCACACCGTAATCCAAGCGACAACATGCAAAGGTACAAACTATATACAATATAAATTGGAGATAATCTCAGAGGGAAGGTACTAAGGACTGGGGAAAGCTTTGTGCAGAAGATAGGACTTTAGCTGAGAGTTGAAGGAAGCTATGGAAGCCCGGAGATGAGAAGAGGCAGGCAAGACTTCCAGGGGTGGAATTGCCCTGAATCAGGAGACAGAATATCATGTGTGAGGAACAGCAACGAAGCTGATGTCACTGGATCGCAGAGTACATGGGGTAGAGGGCAGGAAGGGGTGTGGGGAAATCACGCATAAGAAGACTGGAAAAGTAGGAATAGACCAGGTTATGAAGGGCTCTAAAAACCAGACAGAAGATTATATGTTTGATCCCAGAGGTAATAGGGAGCCCCTATTCAATTGAATAGAGGGGTCAGACCTGGAGATTCCTTTGACAGCTGAATAGGAGCTGCACTTGGAGCCAGGGAGACCTGGGTTCAAATTCTGTCTCTAACACAATGCTAGCTGTGTGACTCTGAGTAAGTCATGTCCTCTTGAGCTTGTAAAGATCAGAAAGTTTAGATGAATTGCCCAGGGTCACCCAGCTAGGGAGTATCTGAGGCAGGATTTGAACTCAAGTGTTCCTGATTCCAAAACATCCACCTAGATGTATTTTGCAAACCTAAATGTTCATAAGAATGTCAGTTATTATTAGGAATAATATAGAATATGCATATCTTCAGATTTCTCTAGTTGACCTTCGATGAATTTCCTGACTAGGAATTAGCAAATTGCAACTAACAGACACAAGAAAGGGAAATCCTTTAAGTATGTTAAAAAAAAAAAAACCTCAAAAAAAATTCAGTGCTGCAGAAGACTCTTGCAACATATGGAGTGTGAGACTGAAACTAGGGCAGCTTTCAACCTGCACAATTGCTGTTAACTTATTCATTCATTTAGGACACCCCCAAATGGAGTTGTCAGTGTGAACCATCATCCTAAGTGTGTGTGTATATATGTGTGTGTGTGTGTGTGTGTCTCTGTGTGTGTGTGTGTGTGTGTGTGTGTGTAGTGGGTATTCAGGGTGGAGGTGGAGGGAAGTATCATTAAAAAAACCCCTCTAACATTGGCTCCTTTGGGTCCAGGTACTCAATACCCAGGCTGACATGTATGCTGTATACTGGTGTATTTACATAACCTCTCAACAAGCACACACCATAGTACAGAGAAACCAAGATAACACCACTAAATTGAATTCCTGTGTAATTAGTTGTTCATTTTAATTGACTGAATCAGACTGTTAAAAAAACAACTCCTATTTCAGCTTCTGTCTTTAGAAACAGTGTGTTAGGAGGCCTTCCCTAAATCAAAAAGACCTGGGTTCAAGTTTTGCCTTTCACACTTGCTTATGTGTGACTTAATCTCCCAATGCCCCCAGCAACTACCTAAGCCTTATATTTTACAGATGAGTTGTTGATCTGTATGGGGGAGGGAGTTTCCACATTGGGAGTTACCTTGATGAAATCTTGGGTCTGGGAAGACAGACAATCTCATTTTTAAACCTCATATTCTGAAATGTCATGAGAGAGAGTGGAATAAGAATCCTAAGATTTAATTGCTTTCTCAATCTTATGTTCATTGATTTCTTACTTTTATGAAATAATGAATGAATGAATAACATTCATCATTAAAAACAACAACAAAAACCACCTCAGGGCATAGGTACAAAATAACTACAATTCATTAAAATAGAACAGCAGTGATTGGCACATATTAAGATTAATGAAACTTCAGTTTTAAGAAAATGAGCCCTTCTAAAGGCTAATAATAAAGTAATAAATAGCTAGGTAGAATATAATATGCCAGGTGAAGGGGTGTGTGTGTGTGTGTGTGAGAGCCAAAGTTATGAAAACCTTTGTCATCCAGAATTTCACATAATTACTTGTAATTTTACTTATCATCATCCTTATGATGATTACTTACAACTAAATCAGGTATCTATAGTTATAAATTGAATATCAGTGGAATGCCTGGACACAAAACTCAATAGATTACTAACTGCATTGCCCCCTGGAACCCTCCACCTGGCTCAGTAGGTCAGAGCTGATGTCTCGCTCCCCATGGAGCAGAGGAATAGCTCTGACCCAGCTGAGGGTTGGGAGGCTCTTTTGGCCTTGGCATAGGGGTCTTTGAGAGTTAGGGAAGGGCTCAGAAGATACTATTAAGAATACAGCCATTGCTGACCTTGTTACAGCATCATCACTGCTCAAACAATACCTTTGGCGTTGCTATACCTTAAGACCTCCAATACCAGAAGAATAAATCACCATATGTGATTCTCCCTAGTGGCACACACAATACAGTGAAGCACAAAAATAGACCTGCACTCACAGGGACAGCCACCCCGGTAACTAGAATTCTCAGAGCTACACTGGTTTGCCACATCAACTTCTCACCTGGCTTTCTTGTTCTTCCTTCTTACAACAAAGTTGTTTAGGGGAAGGAAATTTGGAATGAGTAAATCTGGGTTCAAATCTTGGCTCTGCCTGTCACTACCTATGTGACTTGGGATATAATAGTTGCCACCTTCATGTTTCACAGATGCATTGCTCTGCCTTTCTGAATGTGCTAACACCTTGGAGCACTGAATGACATGTTCCCTTGGACAAGGTTCTCTTTTTCCTCCCTGAGCTGAGAAGCTACTCTGCCTCCTGGGAGTATGGACAGAGGTAAGGATAGGAACAGCAACAATAACAACCAGAGCCACGGCAACTATACTGGTTGGACTGGTGATAATGGGAACAGGAAAGCTGCCGATATCCTGAAGGTCACAAAGGAGAGAGTCAAGGTTAGTGGCTTAAAGGAACCACCTGTGCCCTTCAACTTAATTCTTAGCCCTTCCATTTTAATGACCACAAAAGATGTCAACTAAAGGCAGTCAGGTGGTAGATTTTGTGAGCTCACTATTGGGTCATTGAGAACTGAGATAGGAACTCCAACTCACAGTTGACCAGGCAGCCTACACCCTATACAATAACCCTAATTTTATTGCAGAGATGTCTATAATTTTCGTTTGGCTGATTGCTAGTGCTTGGACAGGGATAGTTCTAAACATAATAATAAGCATACAATACACTGCCTTGGAAATACCCATCACTGAACACAATGCAGACCTAGGCATGCTCCATGCCCTTTGGGCTTACTTTCTCAGTGATGTAGACAGATGTGAATGACTTTGGGGAAGGAATGAGCCCCAACCAAGTCAAGGCCAGATGGTAACACAGTTGTGGGTTTTGTGATGAGCTGAAGTTTTCCATCCGTTGGGGTGGGGTGGGGTGGTTTGCTGGTGGCCCCACACTGGGCTCAGGGAAGTACCAAGTCTAGAGGAGGGATGTACAAGGAGACTGGAATTTTTTGGAAAGAGTTGAGGGAATGCAATTGTTGGCCAGTCCTATAATCAGCTTTAGTCTTGGTTGTCTACATGAGATAAGAGGCAGAATATGCATTTCAAACCCATAAGCCAGGACCAAAGTGGGTTAGGTTATTACATAAGCCCTTCTGGGGAGGGGGGGAGGTCTTTTATTTTTGTGGCTTTTGCAGCAGCAGCAACAGTGGCTCAGGTTGATTTAGAATATGGATGACAGTGGCCTGGCTCCAGCCCATGACTGACGAAAGCTGCTTATCCCTCTTGGTTACCATGGAGATGAGCAGTAGCAGCAGCAGCAGCAGCAGCAGGAGCATAGAGGCTGTCAGGGAGAGAATCAGCAATCAGGCATCTGTGGGGGTCTGCAGGAGGAAGGAGGAGGCAGAATCGGGGACACACACAGCAGACATGGACTTGCATTGTGACTGTGCCGCCGAAACTCCTGCAGCAGAGCAGCCCTCTGGGAAGATTAATAAAACTGCTTTCAAATTATTTAAGAAGAGGAAATCGGGTAGCGCCATGCCCAGTATATTTGGGGTAAAAAACAAAGGGGATGGGAAAAGCTCGAGTAAAACGGGGATGGTGAGAAGCAAGACTCATGATGGATTAGCCGAGGTGTTGATGCTGGAAAGCAGCAAGAAGGAGGAACCGAGCAGCGGCGGGGGCAGTGCTGGTGATGGCAGCGGGGACCAGCTGAACGCGGATACCCACCCCAGAGCTGCAGTGACCAGTGTGAGTTCTTTAGCCAACAGCTCCGTGGCCAAGTCGCACAGTTTTTTCTCGCTGTTAAGAAAGAACGGGAGATCGGAGAATGGCAAAGGAGAACATGCAGATCAAAACAAGGCTGGCAGCAAACAAAAGAAAGGGCTGAAAGGGATCTTTAGCAGTATGCGCTGGCATAAGAAGGATAAACACGGAAAGGAAGAGGAAAAGGAGGAACCCTCAGAAATCCAGTCCAGCCTCATTCTGCCTGGCTCGCTAACAGCCAGCTTGGAGTGTATCAAGGAGGAAATTCCCAAACCTTTGTGTGAACCTGAAAAGCCCACCAAGGAAATTAGAAAAGAGCCATCCTGTGAGTTCCGGGGGGGAGAAGAGGTGAACGCATCAGTGGACAAGCCTGACGTGAGGAATTCTGGGGAGTCACTTAGCCCGGTGTTGCATAACAACAAAAATACACGGGGAGAGGATGCCTCTGGGTATCGGCATGAGGAGAGGCACGGAGAGTCGCGGGAACCGGGGACTGGGGAGAGCCGGACAGCCCAGGATGCAGCTAGAACAGGTGACGTTCCAATAAAGACTATCCCCCTTGTTGAACCTGGGTGTAACAGTGGCCCTGACACTGCTGCCCCTGACCCTTCCTCTATTGATCCACCCTCAGAGCCATCGATTGATCGTATTTGTTTGATGTTTGCTGACGTCACTTCACTGAAAAGCTTTGACTCTCTTACAGGCTGTGGAGATATTATTGCGGACCAGGAGGATGAGGCAGGTGCCAGCTGCGACAAGAATGCCTCTGGGACAGGCAAGCCAGCTCCCTCCAAAAAGAACCCCAACATGGTGGCCTACCAAGGAGGAGGGGAGGAGATGGCCAGCCCGGACGAAGTGGACGACACCTACCTCCAGGAATTTTGGGACATGCTCTCTCAGACAGAGGATCAAGAAGCACAAGAGCCCCCAGGTGTCACAGCCAAGGTAGTAGCAGGAGCAGTAGCAGCAGCCGCCGCCAAGGAAACCAAGGTAGCCCCTGAATCCTCCAAAGATGGCAGGGGTAAGGAAGGAGCTAGGGATGGCTCCTTGGTCAAAAGGAGTAGGATCCACCGCATTCCCATTGAGCTGCATCAGAAGGAGGATTCCAAGCACCGGGAAAAGGAGCAGCAGGAAGGTGTCCCCAACAGCGATGAGGGTTACTGGGATTCTACTACTCCTGGACCCGAGGAAGACAGCACAAGCAGTATCCGGAAGGAAGGGATCCCCAGGGACAGCTACAGTGGGGATGCTCTGTATGATCTCTACACAGATCCAGATGAAAATCCAGTAGGTCTACCCTCTGATGAAGAAGTGACCTGCTTGTCCCGCTCGAAGCCTGTGTCTCCAGTAACCATAACCTGTCCCCTGAAAACACCCAGCAGTTTGATCAAGGACTCCAAGATCCCCATCAGCATCAAACACCTAGCATCCCTTCCTGCCAGCCATCCTGTGGTGCACCATCACCCCACCAAGAGTGAGATCCCCAGAACAAAAATCCCGGTTTCCAAAGTGCTGGTCCGGAGGGTCAGCAACAGGGGGTTAGCTGGGACCACGATCAGAGCAGCAGCCTGCCACGAAGGTGCCAAAAAGTTGTAAGGCCTTGAAAGCCAAGAGAGACCACATCATAGGAATGGCAATTTCATTGGAAACCATTAAGGAAAGTTTTGCTTCATTTAAGGAAAGTCTTCTAGGACAGCCCCTTCTAAGTAGCCTGGGCTGGAATTATTTATGTTTTTTGGAAAAGGGGTACAGCTTATGTGAGAGGGGGGTGCTACCGTTCAGTTTCCCCTCTCAAGATATTACTGAAGATTCTTTTCAAGCACTTTTTTTTCTTTCTTTTTTATCTTTGTATCATGCTTTGGGAAGCACTAAACACTTGGATGGAGATTATGTTTTCTTGCCTTTGCAGAACAGAACATTAGCAAACTTTAACAAAGCATCTAGCTGTGATGCTAAGTTGTGCCAAGAGTTGTCCAGAATGTCCAGGGTACAGCTCAAAGTGAAAAAGAGGGGCTCTCTCCAGTATACTTTTCTCTCTTTTTTCCCCCTGGGTAGGGGAAATTATTCTCTGCTGTTACTACTGTATGGGGGAAAACCACAAAGCCGAATGAGCCAGGTACTTACCCAATGAAAAGAGAGAACCAATGATCGGCCACAGACATAACTTGTTTTTTGGTTGCTAGCTATGAAAAGAGATGGTTTTCTAATACCAGGAGGAAGAGGATATATATATATATATATATATATATATATATATATATATATATAT